GTGTACCCCACCAAATGCTAGTGGGAACGATTTGAAACAGAAATTCTTGCTCTTTACCTCCAAATACCTACAGCAGGCATAGACGTAGTGTCCTTAAAAGACCTAGATGGCAATACCCCAAAGTGCTATGGAAGAACATGCATACATCCACTTCGCTTCCAATCTTACGCTCTATTCACGTGTATACATTCACCCACCCGTCCATCCATCCATCCATTCATCCATCACCGGCCATTTATTCATCCATCCAACAGCCATCCATTCACGCCACAACATATGTGCACTGCCAGCTACCAATTCTGTCGCAATAACTAATCCATCTCTATATGATACCCATCACATCCAAGATTCCTCATCCACACCGACGCTTTGGCCTGACCTCCGCTGTCCCTGCCACCACATCGATGTCAAGATGCCCAGTCGATGAGCAACCACTCGCCTGCAGTGGTACGCCGGTAGGCATAACTCAAGAGGTCGTCAAAAACCAAAACTGTGGTGTTAGAAAACAAAGAACACCTGCTGCAGATGGCCAATCTGCCCAGTGTGGCCACGTTGAGACCATCGAAAGTATGTCTAATTTTGGCATGCTCCCAACCAAAATCCACCTTCAGAAAACCCTTCTTTCTCTGCAATACAACTGTTCACGTTGCACTACCTCACCCTCCAAACTTCGCCTTTACATCTATATTTTACTTTAGAAGCAACAACAAAAACTTGCAGTACCCAGGCCCCTTGACAACGTCAAGCAGTCCTGCACCTTATCTCCCCAACCAACACCCTGGCCACAAATTTCCTCTGGCAGAGAAAGGCGTATTCAGGAATCCAAAAGAAAGCGCTGGCAAGCACCACCATTACCACTAGTGAAGAAGACAGCAGCTCCCTCGTTGCATGCCAGTTCCTGCCTCGTGATTTGTTACCATCCACAGGAGGACTCGTCATGAATGTAATTGGGCAGAAGAATGGAGAGTGGGAATAAAGTATTCAAGAGGAGCAACGACAACGACGCTTACAAGTGGATCACGTAACAAAGTGGACTTTGGTAAGAACCACGACAACATGGACGTCTCTGTCAAACACCAAACTGTTACCTCTTCCACAAACGTCAATAACAACGGCACTAAAAATAGCGATCAGCAAAACAAAGCCACATCCAGACTCCCTGCATGATGGTATCCATCCCCCAAACCTTCCATTCCAACACCCGTGTATGTGGAAGCAGTACGGACTAAGGGACCAAATGTAACAAAGCTAAGTGATAGAAGGGGAGGGCAGGTCTCTATTTTCACCTCTTTCATAAATCCCTTGCCCACCTTCAACTAAGAAGCTGGACCTGTGTGCGGTACGAAAGGTGAGTAAAGCGCCACATTGATGGAAACGTGTGGTCACAATCCCAGTGCGGTTCTATTCTTCTCACACACTCATTCGAGAACAGATCACTCAAGTTAAAGCACAATCATTCCACCTCCC